TTAATGGTGGCAGACAATCATCTGACCCATAGGTGGCAGCCATCTCAAGCCAGAGGACGAGAGGACTCTAGCCGCCACGCATATAAAGGATTTATAGTGAAAAACTTTGTTTTTACGGGTTTACTTGTTTGAGTTTGTGGATCGCGGATTTGCCGATAGCGGCGATTTGCAAGAACATATCTCCCACGATGGGCAAGGCTCTGCTGTACCTTCCACCAAATGTATTAGAAGATTATATCTGTGTTGATTAAATGTATTTCCCTCCAATCTCAATACTTTCTGAGGGCTTGGAACATTCGTTTGCACAAGCTCGGATCCATTATAGCGAATTACATTTATGACACAGGATGGTCGTGAAACACAAGTCGATTTCAGAACCGAACTGAAAGAGAAATAAAGTTTGTCAAATTATAATAGGGGGTATTGTGATGTACTTCTTAAAATGTTACATGTGTATACCGTTAATACAAGTTATGCAGAACGGATGGCTTTGGTGGCTGTTTTTGCTAATGCCATGCAAGAGCAGTGAACCCTATTTGAGTCTGGGCAGCCATGGGTATCGATGTGTGAAGATGTAGCGGATACCGATGGCTCCTGGAGGTGCACCTTAACCCTCGGCGTGGGTGAACCATCGTGCTATGGTTGCCCACGGAGAAAGGAGATAAGATTCCTCGGCACGCACAGACCCGTCAATTCATCCCATTTGATACGTTCCTGCGCTTCATGAACATCGATTGAATTGTGTGTAAGATGTAAGAATCGGTTATGATTTTTAACGTGACTCTACCATTTTTCCGGATTTCATTTCAAATATATGCCTCAATTTGTTTTCTGTCAATTTTACAATGTAAGTAAACTTTAATCAAACCTATAATTAACCTGCGGCATTGGTTATTCGGTCTTGACGAGATGCAACTGTGAACATCCTTCAACTCGATAACTTTACGGAAAGGTGAGCAGTATTCTGATATCTTGATTTGAAGCTTTCGTGACTGCAGGGATCCATACTCTTTGGTTCTTTCAGTAAAGTCACGTGGGTAGAAATGATTTATTTTGTTTGATTTTATTGCAACCTACGTGGCTTTACCGAAAGAACCAAAGAGTATAGTATTCTGATAGTTTACATTTGAATCCTGTTACATTTAAAATTGTATTACATTTTGATTTAAAGCTTTCGTGACTGTAGGGATTCATCTTCTTGGTTCTTTCGGTAAAGTCACGTAGAAGGGAAATAATAAAATAATATTATATTTTTATTGTTTTATATTTATGTTATTTTATTATTTCCCTTCTACGTGACTTCACCGAAAGAACCAAGAATTTGTATTAAATTTGTTAATAATAGCGTGCCCAACAAGCAAACCTCTGATTTGCGAGCCCACCACCACACTGCCCAGCTTCCACATTGCTCATCAGCGAGCCCACCGTCACCACCACGCTGCCTGGCTTGCATCTACCACAGAATCAATGGGAAGCGCTTTTAACCAGATCGGCACAAAGGTGTGGACACCCGATATGCAAGTGGAAAACTCATTTCTTGAAAACTCATTTCTGTAGATCTGCTTTTTGTGTTTAAATGTCCTTCACCCCGCACCTCCGATTAGCACGGTTGGCTAAGTCCGGTTCGAAAGAAGTCCAACATCACCTTCACCAATGTAAAATTACAGATACAAGCCACACTAATACGGTATGATTGGGGCCATGCAACCCAAACTATGGATGGTAAACCCAGTAGAGATACATGACCCATGGAGACATGACCCATAGAAATACATATAAACATGCCACAGTCGTGTGTGGCCATCAGTGGCGGCTCCTGCAAAATCTCTCAGCGGGGGCAAATGTCTGGATGATTGATAAGGATAAGGTCCACCCATGCAATGGATAAATTAACAGCTTAAGCATGTAAAGGCAACTTCACTTTTTTAATATTAATGAAAAATAAAGTGACTCTTACAATACATCTTGTTTGTTTCTATACTCACTATTAATACAATCCACTCAAGTTTCTTTTATTAAAGATTCCACTAGGTGGCGACAAATTATATTGTTGGATGAAACGTGCTTACGTATGATGACGTAAGCACGTTAGGGCGAGCCCTCCCGGAAGCCATAGAGAATGCATTGCAGCGCCCCCCGGTCGAAAAAAACATCTCTGAATGTAAGTCTATGGGGCCACTCGGGGCGATTCTCAGCCGGAGTGAAATCGCCCAAAAAGAGGCGGCACTCCACAGAACGTGACATGACGCTGATTGGACTATATCCAGAGGCACAGTGACGGCTAGCGTGACTCTGTGGTTGAATGACATTGGTGGTGCGTCGCCCAATCGCCCTAATGAAGAAACCGCCCCTGGTGGCCATGCAATACACACGATGAACAATAGAGGCAGTAAACCACTGTCATCTATACTCCTTCAACGGAGGAGGAACAGCAAAGCTACACGAACTCCCTCCTGAAGCCCTCTCGTGGCGAGCAGACCGCGACATTGGGATTCAGCTCTTGAACATACAGATGATCCCACAGGCAAGGATAGACGAAGGCTTAACTCCTTGCGCTCAATCACTCGGGGGTGCGATTTAACTACAACGGCCGCCGTTTCACCGCTTGTTGGCAGTGATGTCACCACGCCGCCTGTGCCAGGCTAGGTGCACTTAGAGACCGTCACGCGAAGCGGAGGTTATTGCTGCTGGCATGGAGAGGTGACGGGACCGAGCCAGCAGGTGTTGCTATGGGTCAACCGATTAAATACGAATCTTTATTGAAACTTGATTGAGAGATGCATAGAGATATACAAATACACAGACCTTGCAGGTGTTATTCTGGATCAGCTGATTACATCTGAATATGATCCTTATGGCGGTACCCCGGGGTTCCAAATAATACAAACTGGCCGATGTAATTATTTATTTATTTATGGGACACTATTTTTGTCCAGGGGTGTTACTACTGGTAGGACATCTGGTTACACCAGCCCACAGGGGATTATTGTGTCCGTCCGTCCGTCGTGCAGGCAGGGGCTGGGTGGGGAGGGAGGGGTGGGGTGGGGAGGGGCTGGGTGGGGGGTGGGCTGGGTGGGGAGGGGCTGGTCACCCCGTGGTGCCCTTATAAAACTCAACGTTTAACCTACTCACGACGGCTTGTGCCCGCCCTCACAGTCGGGCATATTTGCGGAATACACCACGCCGCCGTTGACCCTGGCCATTGACCGAGCAACCCAACGTTCCTACCAGCTCCCTCCGCAGGAGGAATGTGTTTGAGATGATTGACATGCATAGAGATATCCAGATACACACACGGACCCAGTGGGTGTTACGGGTTAACTGATTGAGACGAATGACGGATGCACCACCGCCTGATAGTTCACGGACACTAAGGGGCCGTCCATATATGACGTCACGCACCTTGGGGGGGGGGGAGGGGTCAGACATTTGTGACGATGTGTGACGAGAAGGGGTGTGTGAGAAATGTGACGTCACATCAAAATTCGCAACTTTAAATTAATATAGACAACACGTTCTACTTAATTAAATAGGACTTTTTAATACGTGTTTTTTCCTACAACATCAGAGTGCAGCGCCACATTAAATACGCACTACAATGACAATAGTTTAAAGCGATTTGAAGCATGTTTTATATTTTTTGGTGGGGGGTGGGGCAGAGCTTTGTGACGTCATATTTGAGGGGGGGGGCAGAGCTTTGTGACGTCATTTTTGAGGGGGGGGGGGGTCAAAAATCGTCCAAAATCGCGTGACGTCATTTATGGACGGTCCCTAAACCCATCGCCTGTTGCAAGGAGCGCGCGTCGACAGACAACAACCACAACCACCACCATTCTCCACTAAGTGGTGGTGACGTCACCACGACGCTTGTGCCAGGCTACGTGCACCTTGAGGCCAGACACAGACGCAAGGTCACCGCACTTGCTCTGCCCCCCTCCCCCCCCCAACTTGAATCCATCATCAGCGTCTGATTTGGGGGATGCTGCGTAAATAATGAGGGGGTGGGTGTCACGGAGAACGTGATAGCGATCGATTATTCAACTCAAGACTGATGTGTCGTATCGATATTAATCGATACCACCGAGGGTTGATGCTACTATCTCAATTAATTGACCCCTAAATTTGTGTTTCAGCCCTTTGCACGTTCATTTCGGTTTTTAAGTAAACCTTACTTTAGAAGTGTATATTGTGTTTTAGATAATTAAATGGGGGTCACGAGACATCTGGACCGCTTTGTAGACTAAAACCGGGCACATTTGCCTCTTGGCTAATGTGCACAATGCAGTTGGATTGTGATACATTTATAAATTGTGATACAGTTATAAAGTGTGATAAAGTTCAACACGGCGGATTGCGTTACAAATCAATTCCTTCTGCCACGCGAAATTTTAGATGCCAGTCAGAGGCGGATCTAGAAACTCCCCAACATTCACATATAAATCACAACACTCATTCAATCGCGTATCTACTCTGCTAATCAATCTAATATTCTGATTCCTTTTGATTCTAGATTTGAAGCTTTCGTCGTGACTGCAATGATTCATATTCTTAGGTTTTTTCGGTAAAGTCACGTAGGTAAAACATCAAAATGAATAATTTGTGATCTTTATTTTATTTTTATTAATTTTGATGTTTTCCTTTTGATTCTTACGGCGAAATATCGAACGGGCGAAACCGGGACAGGTGGCAACCCCCCCTCTGCCTGCCTCTTCTATGCAGCGTCGGAGCCCCTACGTAAGATGGCCGCAAACGCCCCCCCCCTCCACAACAGCCCTGACGTCACGTCCGCGGGGCGTGTGTGTGGGGGGGGAGGCATTGACGGCCATCTTACGTAGGGGGCCCAACGCTGCAGGCGGGCGAAACAAGCGTCAACCGCCACCACCCCCCCCAGCCTCGAGCCCCTACGTAAGATGGCCGCCAACGTTCCACCCCCCAACAAGTCCCCGCGTCACGCGGACGCAACGTCACCGCGCGACGTGACGTCACCGCGCGACGCGCGCACTGCACGCCGGGATGAGGGAGCCATGGGGGACCGCGGCGCTGTTGGCCGCCTTCTGCTCCCCCCGGCCGCGCCGCGATTCCCCGACGGCGGCGCTTGTGGCGGCGGTAGCGGTGGCGGTGGCCGCGTGATTCGCCGGGGCTGAGCGCTAGCGGTGGTGGGCACACGAGCGCGGTTGTTGTCACCCTCAGGGTTATTTTGCTGGGGTAGGTAGGGGGGGTGGTGGTGGTGGTGGTTTGCCGGGCGCCTTTTCATGGACGAGAGATGGACCAGCGGCTGAGCAAAGCGCTGCTGGTGGCGGCGGCGGCCCTAATCTTCTTCACCATCGCCTACCAGTACGTGTGCCCGGGCACGGGCTGCGGCCTCCTGCTCCTCACGCCGACACCACAGGCGCACCGCGGCGGCGGTGGTGGATCATCATCGTCGTCCTTGTCGTCGTCGTCGTCGTCCCTTTCGTCTCTCTCTTCCTCCTCGTTGGACCCCTACCCGGCGCCCGACCCTCACTACGTGCGCAAGTTTCACTTCGCGACGCGCGACCTCGACAAGACGGTGCCCTTCGACCTCAAAGGCGACGACGTGATCGTGTTCCTGCACATCCAGAAGACGGGCGGCACCACGTTTGGCCGCCACCTCGTGCGCAACATCCAGCTGGAGCTGCCGTGCGAGTGCCGAGCCGGGCAGAAGAAGTGCGCCTGCCTGCGGCCCGGCCGACGCGACACGTGGCTCTTCTCGCGCTTCTCCACGGGATGGAGCTGCGGCCTCCACGCCGACTGGACCGAGCTCACGAGCTGCGTGCCCGCCGTGCTGCAGCGCAAGGGCAGCAGACTCGACGCCAAGAGGTAAACATCTCAACAACAACAACAGCCACCCCCCCCCCCCCCAACAACAACAGCAGCAAACCCCCCCAACAACAACATCCCCCCCCAACACCCCCCTCCATAACAGCCACCCCCCCAATAACAGCCACCCCCCCAATAACAGCCACCCCCCCAATAACAGCCCCCCCCCAATACAGCCCCCCCAATAACAGCCCCCCCCCAATAACAGCCCCCCAACAACAGCCCCCCCCAACAACAGCCATCCCCCCAACAACAGCCCCCCCCAACAACAGCCATCCCCCCCCCCAACAGCCATCCCCCCAACAGCCATCCCCCCCCCCCCAACAACAGCCCCCCCCCCAATAACAGCCCCCCCAACAACAGCCATCCCCCCCCCAACAGCCATCCCCCCAACAGCCATCCCCCCCCCCCAACACAGCCCCCCCCCCCAATAACAGCCCCCCCAACAACAGCCCTCCCCAACAACAGCCATCCCCCCCCCAACAGCCATCCCCCCAACAGCCATCCCCCCCCCCAACAACAGCCCCCCCCCCAATAACAGCCCCCCCAACAACAGCCATCCCCCCAACAGCCATCCCCCCCAACAACAGCAATTCCCCCCCAACAACAGCCCCCCCAACAACAGCCACCCCCCCCTCTCAACAACAGCCATCCCCCCCCCCCCAACAACAGCCCCCCCAACAACAGCCACCCCCCCCCCTCCCAACAACGCCCCCCCCCTACAACAGCCCCCCCCCCAACAACAGCCCCCCCCAACAACAGCCATCCCCGCGATACACGCACGCACTGCTACTCTGTTGAACTTCTTTCGCACCGCACGTGGCCAACACGTTGCTAATCGGAGGTGCGTTTGACTCGCTCCACCTGGACGATGGTGAGACTTTGACAGCTTTCCCGGCTATTTTACAACGGGGAGATCCGCGGTGCGTTAAACACAGCAAACACAAAGACGACGACGACAACATTGCAAAGAACGAGTACAGACTGCTTAAGATAATGCCGATGCTCTTTCATTTGTGTATTGTTTGTATCGCGCCTTTGATAATGAATGGGGGTACAAAGTCGTGGCAGGCTACTCGTGTGTGGGGGATGAGATGTTGACGGGATGCTGCTGCTGCTGCTGCCGCCTTTCAAGACCTTGACAACACGGCAGATGTGTCGGGAAATTGTCAGAGTCTTCATCACTACAAACACTTCACTTGCGAGGAGCAATGGCCCCTAAATGGCATCATAGGGTTGAAGGAGAGTGCTCAAGGGATACAATTGGGAACAGTTGCGGGCGAGACTTCAAGAGGATGTGTCCTCCACGTTTGTGTCACGCGTGGCCGTGAGCCAGAAACTCATGGACGTGAATTCCGTCAACAGCTGCTGCCTCTCTCCCAAAGCATCTCTCTAGCCGACCGCATCTCAAAACCACGCAAACAAATCGGAGAACCCTTTAACCATTTGGGGAGAGGTAGTTGTGTTGTTGTTGTGCTGAGGGTGTGGTTTTTGTGGGGTTGTATTAATTAGAGCAGGCAAGGAGCGTTGACATTCTTACAGGCCTGCGAAGGAATTGAGATGACCTGATGATAGAGATGCTCATGGGTACAATTCATAGAAACAATGGCTGGGGGGGAAATTACTTGGGTCTGTGCGGTGTGGATGGCCATAGAAAATTAATTCTAGAATGTAGGAGCAGCAACAGGGAGCACGACCGCCCCTTGATCGAGGGTTGTTGACAGAAAGCTGTTGCTGCTGGAACGGTGGCGAGATGTTGACTACCTCGCCTGGTACGCAGGAGGACGTGAATTCGATCCCGACCCTGACGCCTGCTGCTGTATATTTGGAGTTTGCGTGTCTCTTCCTCCTGCGATCGCGTGGATTTTTCTCCGGGTCCTCCGGTTTTTCCCTTAACATTTAGAAACATACGTTTAGAGTATGTGGCTGATAAACATTTCCACGCGATAAGCCACTAAGTTGGGCTATCATTTGTGGCCAGGTCGCTTCTGAAAAGAGCTACATAGCTTAGTGGGCCTTACCTGGTAAAATAACAAAAAATTGTTGCAAGTTAAAGTTGAATGGCCCGTCGTGATGATGGTGGCCGGGAGATAAATATTCACCATCGTCATCGTTACTTATGGGGTTTCGATGTTGTAGTTGTTGCGGTGATAGATTTACACCGTACATACCATTTAAGGGTGAACCCAGTGATTGGAGGCGAATATGAGTTTGTGTTGTGGGGAACGTGATGGATGAATCTTTTCATCATGGAACAGGCAAGCCACGATGTAGGGACATTTAGAGGTGAGTGCGGTGATAGACTGGTGGCTCTGCCATTTACAATTGGGCGACCGGGGCGGGTGAGGGGGGTCGCAGTGATCCCCCCTTTCCAGGTACCCTCCCCATCCTTTACCCCAACACCCCCCCAACATTTCCAGGACCCCCAACTCACCAACCCCCCCCCCCCTCCAGCACAGCGGGAGTCACCCTGGAGGGGGGGTGCACAGTGGTGTAGGGACACGGGCTCCTGTGGATTCAGGTGAACGTGACGAAACCGCCAAGGTGGAGTGCGTCACCATTACTGTAACCGTAATCGCCACGAGTTATATTTGCTCGTGTTTAGGTGGCGTCATTGGAGGATTGGAGGGGGGGGTCATTATGTGTATGGTGTGATGATAATTAGGTGTCTGCACAGACTCTAACCGCTCGAATGGCGCGCCACGTTCGAGGTGTAAGAGGGCAGGACGCTGTTGAGTTGGAGGAGTTAATCGTCGTCGTGATGGTAAACGAGCAGATGGGGCAGGCTGTCCGTTAGGACGGGAAGGTGGTGGGAGGGAAGGGCTTGGATGATCACCTTGTGTATTTCACAAAGGTGGATCGTGGCTCACAACCTCGAGTTATTCCACGCTTCACCAAACCAAAATATTACGGTGGGCCTTAAATCCAGCAGTCGATTGCTCATGACTGATGATGATGATGATGATGTGTGTGTGTGTGCACGCATCTTTCTAAATTGATAACGCCGCTACGGATGGACTTTGCCATTGTGGAAATATGGCATTTGTTAATCAATTTTGTGGTTTTATTTGTGTCTACTGTGTTCATTTCAACGCCTATGTGTTCGTCTTATTTAATTGATTCTTGTGGGTTTCTGTCAACGTGTTTGTCAATTATTCTCTTTCATTGCCCTGTGTTTCTGTTGATCAAATCGAAAACATCAGGGCACACCTGGGAATTTTCCCGCGGCACCACCGGTTGCAAAGCTCTCCGGCCTCGTGGTTACAAAGGGGGCAGGGCGAGGGTTTCTCTGTCGTGCCTGTGCACCGTAAAAATCGTGGTTTATGTTGTGCACGGCTAGATAACATAGCGGGTCGGGTCGTAGGCTTGACTGAACAGCCCCGTGATCGGGCGTGCTCGCCAATAAACCATTTTGCACGGGGTGGTGGTTTCAATCCCATATCCATTAAGTCTGCACATTCGGCAAATTTTGCTGCCAAGATACAATGATCGCTGGTTTTGTCTCCTGACTGTGCGGAGAAGCAGGTGGTGTGCTTTGGGTACGTACCCACAGGCTTCGTGGGCCGCTGACGGATTTGTACTGCTGCACTCAACATGTGACGTGTTTTATAATCAGTGTACTGGCCACCAAAGCTTGGCGAGCAATCCTGTGAGACGATATACAAACTGGTACACACGCAGACAGCCGTTTGTTGTACACACGCACTGTTACGTGCGTACAGACAGCCTGGTGAACACACTGATGCATATGGGCACCGATTAGGAATGTGGAAATTTGTAAATTGATGTATTAATCTTACGTTCACGGTACATGTGTACAAATCTGTGATGTTACATAAACAAATAATTGGGTGACCAAAACTATAAACGAGACGAAAAAAATTAGGTTCTGGAAATAAAAAACCCTGAATAGCGACAATGTATTGTCATAAATGTCATGTCTAGTACTTTGTTTGATAGATAACAGGATAGGCAATGTACACATTGTGACATGGTCGTAGCTTGTGACAAGGTGATAGCGCACTGGTGAGCAGAACAATGTGCAAACACATTCTGATGAACATTAATTGTTATCGATGTACAATAATAATCATAGATACAAACTCTGGTATGAAACCAGACACAGTTGAAACAAGCAGACACTCAATATGTGCAGCACATACACGACTGCAATCAGAGGCTGAGGAATATGACACACACTGACAAGACACAGACACAAAGGTCAATTTGAAAGTTACGTAACAGTATGATAGATGGTTATACACAAGCATTGCAAACAGCTATCCTGCAGTACCCAATCACGCAAATACGTATTCTTGTGTAACCTTGTGTTCGATCTTTCTATTTTTACCGTTTCAATACAATACCGTAGTAAAAAAAATATGCGTATTTTTACGCATTCATATTTTGTTATTATTAATAACGCTTAACAAAGAAAACAATTCCACGATTAGCTTGTTCATACTGTGAATGTGAATTTCACTTAAAGCACATTGTGTGTGTGCGCGTGAACACGTTTTAAACAACCGGGGTGGTCAAAGCATTTCTGTTTTAAGTTGAAGAATAATTGTCGGACTGGGTAAGTCAATTGGCTGGGCCAAATCTGCTCCACCAGACAATCTGGGGCTCGTAGAGCCACTGACCTCGTTGGGCAACCAGAGGTCACTGCAATGGACTAGAGGCGAAGGGAGCTCACCAAGGAAATAAAAAAGTCCCTTGGCATAGCGAAAATTGTACCAGATCTAGTGCGAGCTTAGATCTCATTTCAAACAGAAAAAATAATGCCAAAATAATGTGGTGTGTGTAAAGAGTGAGCCATGCACAATCCATCCCGTTGCTGGGTAGGCAGAAGAAGAAGAGGCTTTGTAGATGCTTCAGAATTGTTTCGTTTCCACCTGATACAAACGGCAGCTGTGCTGCCAGTCGGTGGCGACAAACATTGGGTTTGACAGACAGTGCTGGCCGCTATTTTGTTGGTTAAAAAAAATACATCGATGTTT